GTCTGAACCACAGACCTGCGCCCAAGCACAGCCCCTCAGCACATACATACCACAGCAGTCCCAGCACTGCCTGCAAGGGGACAGTGCACTTGAGTGGCTTGGGGTCATTCCTGACATCTGTGATACCAGACTGGGAAACAAACCAATCAATCCCTCCCTCCTACATTTTCCTAGAAAGCACTTTCAATAAAACATTCAGGTTGTTTAAGCACCAGAGTCACACTTTCAGAGGAAGAGATACCCAGTCAAGTTTCTTGGATCTAGGCTGTGCCAGAAGGGTTAAGACAGACATACTAAATACTGATTGAAGATACCTCATAATCATAGTAAGCAACTAAACACCACAGATGTCCATCCCTCGGGAGGAGAAAGCTGCTCTGAAGTCTCAGCCAGGGTTTAGATGAAGGCCAGTGGAACAGGATGACTCTGCCAGAGGTCTCCTCTGTACAGCTTCTGGCAGCCAGGCAGGAGAAACACTGTGAACTTGCTGTCACCAAGAGAATGGTAAAGCAGGGAGAAGTGCTGTCAAGAAGCTGAAAAAAGGGACTGCTGAATCTGCTCGCACTACAGCACAGGTTAATGGAGACTAGAGTGCATGCTGCAGAAATTAATCTTCCTCCTCAGTATACCTAAAGAAATGACTATGTTCTCAGCTCTGTCACTATACAACAAGAGAAAACCTCCTTTATCCCCTAACAGCCTTTCAAAGGCCAAAACCAACCAGAAGTGCTTTTGAAGATTAATTCATGGTCCTACGGCAAGTGAAGAGGTGGGACAACACCAAATAAACGCCTTTAATTTTCAAGTGTCTGGTTTCTATCATTTTCCAATCACACAAACCTGGTGAAGAGCTGGAAGCTCTCCCGATCGCTCCAGCTCTGACTGTGCATTAACCCCCAGTCAGAGGGCTGGCATGTTCCCAGAAATGAGCAGGGCCCACCCTGCTGCCACCCTGCAGCCACCCACACGTGGAACTGCCTTGGGGCTGTTGCTCCAACAAGCATCTGAACACCTGACTGCACAAGGATTATCCTCTTCCCAACTTCCAGGGAGACGAAGACTGGCTAGGACAGTGCTTCCTACACAAGGGACCATTTCCCACTAGCTAGGGCTAGTGTCCTCAGCATGATCATCACACCAAGAATGAATCCAATCTTCAGACAGGGATGTCAACCTGCTCTGCGACTATTACTGATCCACACATCCAGAAGACACAGGCTGCCTATAAGATAACAACACACAAGCTTCATACCAACAAACCAAAGTCTTGAGATGGTGAAGACAAATTCGCATTAAAGCAGTGATAGGAAAAAAGTTCAACCTCCTTTCAGCAACAGATTCAGTTCTCTCTTTCTAGCTGTAACCAAGATGCACAGTACAGCAGGAAACAAAACATTAACAAGTTATTTTGGATACTGTTTTGCCAACAGATACAAGGCCAGTTATCTAACTGTGGGAACATCAGTATGAGTAGGCTCTGAGAGGGAGCAGCAGAGCACTTGCAGGGTTGTTTAACTGCAGGCTTTGAGCAGCTTGCATCATCTCCATCAGTGCATTTCCACGAGTCTGCCATGTCAGCAGCTTATGCTGCAAGACACCTGGAAGAGTTTGTGAAGTGCCATCTCCCTTGGGTACCACAGAACTGTCCCCTCCTACTCTAGCCACTAACAGACACAACCATGAGACAGTTAGAGGAGGTACTTCTACAGCTAACTCTTAATTACATTAATTGACAAGAGATCTGACTCAACTGCTGTAGAGCCTGGTGCAGGCTGGGCCTCCTACTCCCTGGAGCAGGGATGCTTTATCCTTGGGGAAAGGGTGTAACAACAGAAGTGAGTCACCGCACACACGCAGCAGGCCACCACTTTGACATAATTTATGCCAGGACAGCCTACTGATTTCAACACGATCCACCTACCCTGGCAGGCTTCATACCAGGGAGTCATTACTTTGAGTGCTTTAAAAAGCCACATACAGCTCACTTGGGCACCAAAAAGTAAGACACGAAAACACGGAATCTGAGCAACAGCAAAGGTAGAGTGTTCTGCACAGGCTAACATAGCAAGTCTTAGTGCATGAGAGATCCACGCACAGCAGAGCATGACTGACACTTGTGAGATCAAAGGAAGCGCTGAATATAGAAGCCCAGTATTAGGTGGGCAGCACAGAGAATATCAACTCAGTCCAACTGTGCTCACACTCCCCGCTGCGACAGAGCATTGGAGCAACAGAGCCACGGGACAGCAGCGGAGCCGAGAGCTGGGAACAGAAAAAGCAAGGCTAGAGTAGCAGGCCAGAGAGCCAGAGCCCTTCTCCTCTCCCCTTCACCTGGCAGTGGTTCACCATTCCCCACCAGCCCTGGTGCAGAGCAGCCTGCAGCTCCGGCCACTGCCCAGGGGTGTCCCCCAGCTGAGCCACCGCTGCACGAGGAGCTGGGAGCCGGCAGGATGAATCTACAGCTGCAGGGTCTGAGGTTTATTAACATTCAACTAAAGGAGTAGAAGACAAAAGATCAACTTAATTTGTGGTTTCTCTAGGTCAGGAAACCGAGCATGTGGCAAATTGCAGTACAAATATTAGTATTCTGTTACAGTGAGTGCCACCTTTCCTGAGAGTAGGGATCATCTCCAACTGAAATACCCACCCTCCAAAACTGCTGCCTGACAGCACACGTGTCTCTGGGACAGCACAGTCTCTCCCAGGGACTATTCCATTTGAGTGACAATTTTAGAAGTGCTCCCTGTTCAAAATTAAGGGAGAGAGTTCATATGCTACAACAGTGGAGAAGAAAATGCCTGGATACAACCATTTCAAGAGTTTTGAAGGAGCTGGTAAATTTTGCACAAAAGCACCACTAGACTCAAGTTCCGCAGACGCTCAGACGCATGTGCAGGCACACGATTTCAGGGAGTAGTCAAGAACACACTGGGAAGTTGAGTGCCACCTCCAAACCAAACCAGCCCTTCAAATTATTGTCTTTAGGACTCCAGCCTGATCTTTCTCTTTGCTTGCTTCTGCAGTGACCTCAAAGTATGAACATGATTTAAGGGAAATTTTAACACAGTATGAATTCACACAATCACTGGAAGTTTTGGGTTAACGGATCGCTACTTTTTTTTCATCAGGAAGTTACATTCTAGGATGTTCTGCCCTGTGCCTGTCCAGCCAGACTGCAGTGTAGCCCTCACCATCACTACATGTAGCACTCTGAACGCAGTGAAAAGCGTATTAGCATTTAAAGTTAGAGGTGGGTTCTGGTAAGCAAATGATCTTATAGTTCCCAAGTCCAGGATGTCATCAGAGAATGCTCTCAGGAATTTAAGGAGGGTTTTTTTATGGTTTAACTCAGCAGCCACTGCCAGAGTGAACAAACTTGCCTTAGGCTTTGGTTCTTGCACATTAGATGCAAGAAGCTTCAGAACATTTAAGTTATTTGACACTTCCTTTAGATTTCACATACACAATGTATACCCTCTGGGCATTAGTATCATAACAGTCATTAGTATCTATTAGGTACGTACATGTCAGAGCAATATAGACCAAAGAGCAATGGCACAGACTAATAATTGCTTCTGAAGTTTTAAAGCTATGAGTCTGGTTGTGGTAGGTGGTCAGCCAGGCTCCATCCTGCCATGTCCCACTGGCATTCTGAGTGTTCAGCCCCTTAACAGAGGGGGAGACTGACCTGCTGGCTCTCTGAAGGTACCAGGGAACAAGAAGACAAACTGGACCCAAGAGCAAAACAGAAGGTACAACCTGAAACTGAGGGGAGATTACACTTCAAAAAAAAACCAAAACCACAATTAAGCATAAGTTTCCCTATATTAAGATGATCCAGCTGTCCTCCTTACCATCCCTGTTCCACTTCCTGCTACTGAGTGCTGTAGACAACTCTGTGCAGCCTACCAAGGCGAGCAACAAGCACTTTGCTGCCTCTCAAGGGAAGAAATACAACCACAACCTCAACACCTCAGCTAAGAAACTGAACTCTAAGGAGCATATGCAGAGCTGGAATCACAGCACTTGAACTCAGTAACTATTTCCAGTAGCTTTGAGAACAGTGGCCCAGATTTTCATGCCCTGGTACCTAGGAGGTTACCAAGCACCAATTCAGATGTGTTATTAAGCATCCTGCTTTCTGGAAGTATTTATCAATGTTAGAAAAATTAGACCTCCTAATCAGAGAGTCCTTACTAGGGAAATTCACTCACTTCCTTTATCAATGAGATTTTATCCTAAAGCCAACTAAGAAATTTCTTAATAAATCTCACCCATAAGAGGAAAAAGGAACTCCTTAGTTTTTAGATAGTGGAACATGCAGAAACTGTACACAGACACCAGAGTTCCCATATGCACACGTTTCACTGCAGAACGTGTGAAGTCTCCCTTCAGAAGATACTGTGCTGGTTTTGGCTGGGATGGAGTTAATGTTCTTCCCAGTAGCTGGTATGGGGCCGTGTTTTGGATTTCTGCTGAACACAGTGGTGATAACACAGGGATGGTTTGTTATTGCTGAGCAGGGCTTACAGAGAGTCAAGGCTTTTCTGCTCCTCACTCCACCCCACCAGTGAGCAGGCTGGGGGTGTACAAGGCCTTGGGAGGGGACACAGCTGGGGGAGCTGACCCCAACTCACCAAAGGGACATTCCAGGCCATACGACATCATGCTCAGCACATACAGCTGGGGGAAGAAGAAGGAAGGGAGGACATTCAGAGTGATGGTGTTTTTCTTCCCAAGTCACCGTTACGCGTGGTGGAGCCTGGCTGTCCTGGAGGTGGCTGAACACCTGCCTGCAATGGGAAGGAGTGAATGATTTCCTTGTTTTGCTTTGCTTGTGCATGAGGGTTTTGCTTTCCTTATTAAACTTCTTTATCTGAGCCCACAAGTTTTCTCACTTTTACTCTTCTGATTCTCTCCCCATCTCACCACGGGAAGTGAGCGAGCGGCTGTGTGGTGCTTAGTTGCTGGCTGGGGTCAAATCACAACAGTCGTTTTGCCAGGGGAAAGTGTGAACACAGTCCCCCGCTACCACAAATGATGCAATCAAGTTTCCCATATTTGTGGAAATCACACACCCAGAGTGCAGGGCATGAGCTTCACCCTGCTGCCTGCCTGATCAGTGTCTCCCCTGCCAGATCCTAGCAGATCTGGCAATCGAGCTGGCCCTGCCAACCAAAACTTTTATGCACTATAGAAGGAGATAAAGTCCTTGTAGTGCACATTAAAAGGGTGCTGGGGTGGTGTGAGGAGCAGAAAAGGCCTTGACTCTGTGTAAGCACTGCTCAGCAATTAGGAAAACACTTCTGTATTATTAAGTTTCCAGCACAAATCCAAAACACAGCCCCATACTAGATACTATGAAGAAAATTAACTCCATCCCAACCAAAAGCAGCACATGGACTATATCCTTTCTACATTTATGACTGTAACTATGGGAAAGCCATAGCTCTGATCTTCACCACTTACAGATGCAGGAAAACAGCAAACAAAAGATAAGCCCACAGAGCTGAGAACTGTAGTCAGTGCTTTCCAGCAAGAGAGGCTCCACTGGCAGCCTACCAACCCTCTTCACTGGACCTTGATGCATTACACGAGATAAACTTCAAGTCAACACAGCCACACTCAATCAAGAGCAGTGCTGAGTTTGGCACAAATGAGCTGTGGTACGGATGAACAGGCTTGGAGAACCTCAGTACAAGAGGCCAACTGAGCAGCATCCACTGCCCCTTCAAATAAGAAAGGCTGTTAGTAACTTGAAGCCAACGGTAGGAAGAGAGCAGACAGAATGTATGACCATAGGTCTTGCTGTATCACAGCACAGTGTGCACAGGTATTTCCTAAACCAGCACAGTCCAGCTTCCTCTTGAACACATTCACTCTCCATGAAAACCTCAAAGGACTTGGAAAACCCAGACAAAGGCTTACTCACAAGTCATGGCTTCTGGGGACACTTACTGCAGGAGGTTACACTGCCTCTGTGGCCAGGTGTGCAGGTTTTCAAACTCACTAACTATTCACAAGCTGCTTATAATCCTGCAAACAGGATTAAGCAGCAGCCAGTCTTAACACTGTTGAAGTTAAACTGACAGCTCAGCTCTCAGCACCAGGAGTTCAGATCAAGAAACGCATCAGACAGTATTATTATCCAGCTGTGCTTCCCTTCGGTCTTTAAAGTTTCCCAGTGTTGCACAACCCATGGTGTAGCAAGTCGGGTTATAAAATATGCAAATACCACAGACACAGAAGTGATTCACACCCTTGAAGCGTGTCAATACTGGCTAGACAAGGAGATCTTACAGACTGAACGCAGCCAAGGGCTGCCCTTGTCCACTTTGTTTGCCCTGCGTATGACACCACATTAGTAAGCAGCGCTCAACTGAGTGTGAAGAGCCCAGGCTGGTGCAGACTTCGGTTCACTGAGGTATTTTCCTTCTGCTGAGGGGTTAGAAAACAACGGACAAGACTTAAAAGAGCAAATGCATTTTTTTCCAAAGCAAAGGGAAGGACTCAGTTATCTATTACCACTTACCGACCAGCAGATACTAAGAGGTGAAGAGACACTGAGAAAAAAGTCCCACTCATTTTGAAGCACGTGAACCTGAGGCTTCCAGACATTCTTAAGTAACTTCACTTTAGTCATTTACTCAAGAGCACCTGCCAGCTCTCCAGCATCTACTTTTCAACAGTTTTCTCTGAGCCCAAATCTGCATTTTGTTAACCTCCATCTCTGGGTGATGATTGCAGGAGCTCTGTTTACCTCTGAATAAGTATCCATGGCCATTGCTGCTACAGGATCAGGCAGCTCTAGTTTCAAAGTCTTTATCAGAGATCACACAAGACAACTTGATTTTCATCTCCAGGTCCTGGCTTGCAGCATGCAGTCTGTTGACTTACAATCTGAACAAGCACTTGGTGTCACAACCCTTAACCAAGGGCTGCTAAAAGAATGCCTGAAACTTCAGCACTGGAAAGACGCCCAGACAAACTTGTAGCAATTTTCACTACCTTATCTTTCAGGCATGAATGCCTTTTCCGTTAACATCCCAGATATATTTTGCAGAATTATTCTGCAAAAATTGTCAGTGCCCACTCACTCTTCCCTTTTAAGTTTGGATACTGTCTACCATCCTGTCAGTGACCATCTACAAAGATATCTTTTAAAACTTGTTTGAGTGACAGGTATGTGCCCTTATGGTTAAATTTCAGAATTTTTTCAGAGAATTCAGTAGAACAACACATTAATTTGCAGAAGATTAGGTTTTATGTTTCTGTTCCCATCCTCAGCCTACTTTGGCTTGCACCTCAGTTTTTCCTTCTGCAAGTGCATCATTAAAGATGCCAGCCAAGCCAGTTTGAGGGATTCAAGAAACTTGCAAGTACTGAGAGAAGGGGTTTGGAGCTTCCAGGCTCCCCCACAGAAGACCACTAATTCAGTCAGGTTCTTCATATTTTTGAGAGGAGCAGCCTACAGCAGCTTTTAACAAACTCACTATATATAATGGATTATTTGGAACCTAGCAGTGGAGGTTATATGGTGGTCAGATTATCTGATGTACACTTGGCATTCGAGTCTGCCAAAAGTCATCACTGGCATAAGAACAGACCAACTGAGAATATCACATCATGGACTCGGCCTCGGAATTATCCCCAATTAACCTCTAAGGGCACAAACAAGTTTGGGGGACAAGGAACTCCATGCAGTCTTATTCTGAAAGAATAAGCCATTTCACAGCGACTTGCTCATGTAGTAAAGGAATTTGTTGGGGTTAACTGTGTTTAGACAAGCACACGAGAAAGGACAGAAGGACTAGTTTCCTTCTAGGAAGGAATTTATTCATGGCCTTTAATGGAAATCTCCAAATACTCTGGAATTAGCTGTTTTGCTGTATTAAGGGAAACTTCATCTTACCCTTCCCATAGATGAGGTAGTTTTCTACACACACTGAAAACTGAAAGCATGCTAAAAATACAGCTAAACTCACAAACCATGCGTAATTTGTAGAGGAGCTTTTAGCTCCTTTCCTAAATGGCATCTGTCTGCAAATTGTAGTCTGAAACAATTTCAATCTTAGACCTTTATGCATTCATTTTCTCCTCTATAGTAACTGTAGTGGTAGAAGTTTTAGAGTCAAGCAGCCTTGGTGTGGGTTGCTCCACAGCTCTTGTAGCAATCGGGACAGATGTGACCAGTGTCAGGGGAGAACGAAAACATTTCCTACCCTCTACAGTTTTTAACCAATGTTGGTTAAAAAGCAGGTTTTAGCATCTCTGGCCAGACAGCTAGCTACTTAAAGATCAATAACACTACAAATTAACATGACTCAAATGCAATTGGCCTTTCAGTCACATCTTCTCCCTAAACAGGACACTTATCAAGGGTTCCAAGGGAACAGATGATGAAAAACACTTTATCTTCATGCCATGAGCTGCTCTACCCTTTCATCTTAAAAACCCAGCACTTCAGAAGATAAATTAGAAAAAGAAGAGGAGTCTGTCAGCAGAAATGCTGGAAAACAATTTTGATCCTTTCAGGAAAACAGCCAGAAATTTCTCTCACACTGAAAAAGTCAACTTGTTTCAGCATCCATATTACATGAAATTTTATCCCTTTTGTCTGAATTCAAGGCTGCTTAACACAAGCAAAGCACGAGGGAGAAGATGTACTGTTGTGTTTGCCAAGGAAGCACCAGCCCAGACAGATCACAACTCAGCAGCACAGGCCAAACTGTGCAGGTGCAGCGCACAGGGTCCCTGCTGAGCAGCAGTGGCCAGCACCCAGCAGTGACAGCACCCCAATCTCAGCCCAGAGCTCCAGATATGCCCCACGTACAGGGGAAATCTGCATGTCCCCTCCTTAATATCAGATAATACAAACAGAAACGTTACAAATAAGATGCTTCTGTGACAGCTGTGACAAAGGCCCTTTATCAAAAATGACAATTGTAAAGCATTAGCTACCTGCTTGCCAGGTCAGGCACCAAAGACCATCCTGCCTCCCATTAATCAGGAGATTAGTTAATATTTGAGTAGGCTGTTACAGCTCAAGACACGCTACCAAGTACACTGTGCCATGCTCTCAACCAGACCCCTTACCAGAAAATGGATAAAGCTGAGGACAAATGCATGGAAGAGATCGTACAGAGCAGAACACATCATCACACACAGCCTTTGTGGTGAGAAATCAGGGCTTTTCAGAAAATAAGAAGAAAGTTCCCAGCATTTAGGCAGAGAGCAAAATAAAGCCCAGTTCTCTGCTCTGTTATCATTGCCACTGGGCTCATACATGAGGTCATACAAGTCAAATCCTCTCGGCTTTCATGATCTCATCGCAGTGTTCAGCAGCTCAGCTACCCCATTACATGCTGAAGCATTCCCACAGTAGAAACAGCTGTCTCAGAAGCACTGGGAAGGCAAGAGACCCCCAAAAGTTCCTCAAACTACCACCTTGGTGACACATCAGCTTTTCTGACTGATGTATTTTTGATGTCAGAGCTAGACAGGCTCAGGGTACCTGTCACCCTGCCAAAAGAAGCACCAAGTCCGTCCCACTGTGACTGGAAAACAGCCTAGTGCGTACTTGGGTTTTTAGCATCACAAATATTTGTTAACAGGGCTCAAGGGAAGCAGCACAGCAATAGCTGGAGATCTGGGGCTTCCTGCCATTTATTTGTATCAGAAAGTGAGCTCAACAACATACAAGGCAGTGAAGATAGTTTTAAGAAAGTGGTTCTATTACACCTCTTCCACCATTGCTCCTGAAGCAACAGCCTTAAAATCACAGCTGTAATTCAGGCTCATTTAAAAGATCTGTGTCTTCCCTGAAGCCTATTGAGTTGTTCTGCTTTCTCCTCCCAGCTACTGATTACTGGGGTGGATGGGATAAGGGGGAACATTAACTGCCTCCCAGCCATTTCAGTGATACCACAGCTTGTGACATCATGATTGTCTCCATAGTGACACAGCAACACAACTGAATCTGAACAGGAGGACGCCAATTAGAACAAGAAAGCTCTTTTGTGGTTGCAACTATAGTAATTGACAGAAATAAGAGAAGCTGTTATAGAAAGTACATCATTCCAACAATAAAATCCTTGCTTCTAGTTTGCCAGGGGAACCTAAAACC